AACGTTGGGGTCAGCACCACTACATTCTTCGCTCTGGGAGGCAGCCGAGGCGGCTTCAGCTACGCTGCTCAAGAGCGCGTCCAAGAACACCTCAGAGGCGTCCGCTTTGTCGCTAATCTCCACTTTGTCACAGCCGGCGATCCTCGTCAGCTACCAATGCCCCAGCAACCGCCCATGCACTGGGGCGCTGCTGACATCACACGCCTTCTCCAAGACGCAACAGCCCTGCAACGCATTGCTGCGACTGGCGACCCTGCAGCAGGGTTGCGCGCTCTCCAAGCTGTGATTCTCCGCAAGTGCTTGCAACCTCAGTGACCCTAACCATGCACTTCTGGTTGCTGGGCGTGCTGCGTGGCACGCCATGCAGCTCGCCTTCATCCTGCGTCACCAGCACCGACAAACAAGCGATGCAGATGGTGACAAGCTCCGAAGATATGCGGCTCTCTTTGATGGCACCGGCGCCGTTGGCGGCGCTGCCCTCCAACAACAGCTCCTCGAAATGTGCCACGACCTCAATGCTACGGTTCCCGCACCTGACAGCCTACACCACCTCCCTGACCCACGGGTCATTGTCCTTCGGCACTCGGTACAGCTCCCCCTCAACCTAAGCCTCGCCCTCATTCACGCGCAACAGCATAACCAGCCCGCTTATGTCTGGCGGAGCCAGGACGTTGCAGCTGACGGCTCCCCTTTATCTTCCACCACCCTCGGTCACCTCGAAACCACCTTCAACGCTAGCATTCCAGCCGTTGGCATCTTCTTCCCCGGCATCCGCTACATTTTCTCCGACAACGCTTACAAGCACCTGTACCACGTCCACAACAACGGCTGCACCGGTGTCCAGCTCATCCTGCACCCCAACGAACCCCGCCAGCAGTTTACCAACCCCGACTCCGGTATCCACATGCTACACTACCCTCCACAAGCTACCTGATGGTCCCAGCGTTGGAGCAGTCTGCACCCATCCTGCTATTCCCACAAACTGCATCCCAGTGCTCCTGAGCCACACCCGCTTCCTGTGCGCCGTTCAATCTGCCCCCCGTGCCTCCCTTTATGTCATCCTAACCCGGTTCGCCAAATTCTCCCAACTCCGCTTGTTGACGCCGCTTTGGCAACCTGGCGACGAGGCAGCAAAGCAGCGTGTACTGGCCAAGCTCACTGCGCTTGCTGCTCCTGATCCCGACTTACGCGCGGAATGGCTTCGCCTTCAAGACCTCGCACAAAATACCCAGGAGCGCTACTCTGAACTCCTGCGTGCATGCAAGGCTGCAGCTGCACCATCTTCAACTTCGACTCAAGCACGCCCTGGTAAGCGCCCTTTTAGGCTCCTCTCGCACCATCGTTGCTCATGCTGCCCCTAGCTACACACCCGCTGCCTTTCATTCCCCCCCCCCCACCCCTCAGGAAGCCCTGCTAACACGTCCGCTGCTGCTCCTGGTGCACGCTAGCGCATTTGCGCACGCACAAGCCTGGAGCCGCCAACATGTTCAGCATGCGTTGTTTGGAGTTGGGGGGTACACCCAGGCTAGGAGTATGGACCGGGCTTGTATGAATGTTGAAGAACGTCTTACGTTGTTGGAACGCGATGATTCCATCTACTGACGGACGCTGTATAGCGGCTGCATGCTGATCAACGCGAAGGCTGGCAGTTCCCTTGCTGGCGACGACGACACCTGCTCCCTCGTCACGGACCACGAGTGCGCTATCATGCCCATTAAGTCCGGCAACACCCTCCTCCTGTCGGTCCCCCACCATGCACCCGGTCTGAACGGCACATCCTGCCCAACCACACTCGCATGGCGCAACCAATCGAGCCCCACGCTTGGCCACATGGTACTACATGTCTAAGGAGTCTATAGGTGTGACGGTGGGCTCAAGCGCCGCTCGCACGGTCAGATACGCACCCCAAACTCTGGGTTTGGCTAGGCCCCCCACCATGCACCCGGTCTGAACGGCACATCCTGCCCAACCACACTCGCATGGCGCAACCAATCGAGCCCCACGCTTGGCCACATGGTACTACATGTCTAAGGAGTCTGTAGGTGTGACGGTGGGCTCAAGCGCCGCTCGCACGGTCAGATACGCACCCCAAACTCTGGGTTTGACTAGGCCCCCCACCATGCACCCGGTCTGAACGGCACATCCTGCCCAACCACACTCGCATGGCGCAACCAATCGAGCCCCACGCTTGGCCACATGGTACTACATGTCTAAGGAGTCTATAGGTGTGACGACGGGCGGGCTCAAGCGCCGCTCGCACGGTCAGATACGCACCCCAAACTCTGGGTTTGGCTAGGCCCCCCACCATGCACCCGGTCTGAACGGCACATCCTGCCCAACCACACTCGCATGGCGCAACCAATCGAGCCCCACGCTTGGCCACATGGTACTACATGTCTAAGGAGTCTATAGGTGTGACGGCGGGCTCAAGCGCCGCTCGCACGGTCAGATACGCACCCCAAACTCTGGGTTTGACTAGGCCCCCCACCATGCACCCGGTCTGAACGGCACATCCTGCCCAACCACACTCGCATGGCGCAACCAATCGAGCCCCACGCTTGGCCACATGGTACTACATGTCTAAGGAGTCTATAGGTGTGACGACGGGCGGGCTCAAGCGCCGCTCGCACGGTCAGATACGCACCCCAAGCTCTGGGTTTGGCTAGGCCCCCCACCATGCACCCGGTCTGAACGGCACATCCTGCCCAACCACACTCGCATGGCGCAACCAATCGAGCCCCACGCTTGGCCACATGGTACTACATGTCTAAGGAGTCTATAGGTGTGACGGCGGGCTCAAGCGCCGCTCGCACGGTCAGATACGCACCCCAAACTCTGGGTTTGACTAGGCCCCCCACCATGCACCCGGTCTGAACGGCACATCCTGCCCAACCACACTCGCATGGCGCAACCAAATCCCCTTCTACACCCCCCTTCACGCCTTCTATTGCACCCCTTCCCTTGTCATTCCTTTAACCCCGTCTCCCTCTTCATTCCCTCCACAGGTGCACCGCCTGCGGCTCCTCCATGCCCCTGAATGCCACGCACTGCCCCACCTGCAACGCAAGCGCTGACGACCACACGGCGATCATCGTCCTCGGCACGCTTTTCACCACCGCCCTAAACGACGCAGACTCCATTCAGGTACTCTCTAGCCGGTACACATCTGCTCTGCCTTACATCCCTGCTGCCTTTGCCCTACCGCCCTGCTCTCCTCCATCCAACCTTCCTTCACGTTTCTACAACTACCAGTTTAACTTCGCATTCGTTCTGCTGTAACCCACACCCCCCCAGGTCATCGTCACCTCGGACGCCGCTACGCACATGTTCATGCCCGCGCATGGTTACACTGTACCCAACACCGGCGCCCCCCACGACGGCGCCTCCGACCGCACCGTCACCACCTTCGCTGAGGCTGCACGCGCTGCCGCCCACTGCGTTCTGCCCTCCATCACCGCGGTGCACGGCGAGACTACCATCCAGGACGGCTTCGTCACCTACAATAGCTTCCCGCTTTCATTACGCATGTTCACGCCGCCAATAAGCTTTTTAAAAAAACACCTTCGATTTCCATCTACGTGTTGCCTTATTTCGTTGTACTCTTAGTTCGTTCAAACTTCCCATGGCAATGTCCCATGTCTCCGATGCTAAGGGGGGTGGTTCAGTATTGTCCCAGCCACCGCCCGGTGAATAAACGCTACTTGAGGACGCACTTGGGCTACCCCTCTGTAAACACCCTCGCACCACTAGCTTGGCTATCCGCCCCTACATTCGCACACCACATACTACCTGCAATCAACAGATTTTGCCCTCTCACCCGACCAAAGGGAGGCTTGATTGTTAAAGCTTTACAACAATAGGGGTGTTTCTATGGGCGCGGTCCGAAACCAAATCTAAGCCAACCTAAGTCGTACGCTACGCGCTCCTAAGTGTTCCTAAGTGACCTGTTTCTATGGACTTCAGGAACCACGGTGAAACCAGCCTTATGTTAACACCATAATCATTTATCCTTACAGGATAGGGTAATCACTGTTTATTAAGCCAACACGTTTGGAAGGAAAGGGGCGCTCGCGAGAAGATGATGCAGCGGTGGATTTCCGTTTGCGGCCCTGATGGTTAGGAAAGGGTATAATTTACATTTCCTCGGGCAACAGAACAACCCATAGCACGTGAACGGGGACAACAGGACACGTTGCGTGACAGCCATGTGGGGATGCATGTAGGAACTAGGAAGCACATGGACGGGAAAGCCTAGGTTCTGCCATAAGATACCTTCGCAGAGAATGGATGACCCCTGCAAGGGCCTGGGTTGCCAGTGGACAAAGCTGCTGCTGTCAGGGGCCCGTGGGACCTTACAACTTAAGGAAGCGCAAGGCACATATCGCTTGTGAGGACCACGCTAGGGGTGTGGTGGAAGATAACCATAGGTTAGATGACCCTCGACCGGCTCTGTTACAAGGGGTGATAGTGGAGCTGGCTAATTGGGGATTCCTCTCCGTGAGATAAGGCACCCGTAACAAGACACGCAAATGTGCCATACATGTGGCAACTGACGGGAGGTACGGTGCTTGCTTTCGGGTAAATGTAGCCTCTATGAAAGGAATGAAGGATTCTTCACGCATTTTCAAGTTGAGGAGTTGATTTTGCTTTCTTGGGCATTTTACCATCAAAAACAAGGTCCGAAAAATGCCGATTATACAACCTTGCCATCTTGCTTCGTATCCCTTACTGTTTGTCTGTATGCGAAGGTCTGCAGGCTCAATGAGTAGGGCCCGCTGGCTCCACTCGCTCCACTCGCTCCGGGCGCCTAAGCCGGTGCTAAGTTGCTGCTAAGTTGCTAAGCGGGGTCACCCCACTTAGCAACTTAGCAGCAACTTAGCTAAGTATTGGTGGGACGAGCATGGGACGAGATTCCCTTAGGTTGGCTTAGGATCGGTCCGAAACCAAACCTAAGCCCATAGAAACACCCCTATTATACTGAAATGCGGTGGAAAGGGTAAACGCAAGACGGCTGCCGTACGCCTAGATCGCTTCGGACCTAGGTGCTCATCCGGGTGCAGCGGCACCCATGCTTCTCAAGAGCCCTGCTACTTGCCAGGGTTGCAGAGTTGTCAGGAAGCCTTCTCTTTGTTACTAGTTGCATAGTTTCTTGTACCTAAGGGCATTTACCGCTAAACATGTCGGCGGCGCTGGGCTCCACCGGGCCCCGCGTAGTCTCAGCCCGGGCGGCACCGCTAAGCCGGCGTGCTGTTCTCTGGCCAACAGGGCGCGCTCGCGTGGTGGTCCGTGCGGAGGTTAAGCGGCCTGAGTACATCCCAAACCGCATTGATGGTGAGCTAATAATCCTTTGCGCATGGCACTTAATAAAACCGAGTGTATCTGAACCACGGATAGAGGTCTTCATCGTTGCTTTGCGGCATCATACGGCTACCTGCGTCCTAGCCGTAGTGCCGCCGCTCAAACTACGTTCTCTTCTGCCAAGGCTTATGGGCTTCACCTGTTGGGTCAGCTTGAGTTATGCATGCAGGAACAGTCTAACCCTATATTTATGCATAACGGTTTCTCCAGCTTTCCTGGCCTTTGGCAGCCCGCTGCTGGTTTCTGCTCTCGCGTGTCCGCCTCATCCAGTTCCCTTCCGGCCACGCATCTATGATACGCTGCCTGTTCCTTAGCAGTTGAGCACCTACCAACACTGCCGCTCCCTATCTTCACGACCCAGCATTCTTACCATTTCGCCTCCCTTTCTTGCGCCTCGCGCTCCCTCCTTATCCGCCCTCCTTCCCACGACCACCTTACCATTTTGCCCTCTCCTTGCTCCTCAGCCCTTCCCTGCATCTCCGCACTCTTAACTCATCCACCGTACATTTTTCAGCTTGACTCCGTTGACCCCCAACCTAAGTCCCTAGATCCTTTCCGACAACATAACACCTTCAGCCTATCCTCGCCCCTCCTCGTAAGTTCCCCTCCAACCTCTTTCCAACTCTCCCCTTCACCAATTCAGACCCCCACTACGTGCGAATCTTCGACACCACCCTCCGTGATGGCGAGCAGTCCCCCGGCGCCACCCTTACCTCAAAGGAGAAACTCGACATCGCGAGGCAGCTCGCCAAACTGGGGGTCGACATCATCGAAGCGGGCTTCCCTGTCGCGTCGCCCGATGACTTTGAGGCCGTCCGCACAATCGCCATGGAGGTCGGAAACGAGGTTCAGCCGGATGGATACGTGCCTGTGATTTGCGGCCTGTCCAGGACGAAGTTTCAGGATCTGGAGCGCGCTTGGGATGCCGTACGACACGCCAAGCGCCCGCGTGTGCATACCTTTATCGCAACGTCAGACATCCACATGCAGTACAAGCTGCGCATGACGCCGGACGAGGTGGTTGAGTCGGCGGTTGCTGCCGTGCGGCACCTGCGATCGTTGGGCTGTAACGACATTGAGTTCAGCCCGGAGGACGCCGGCCGCTCGGACCCCGTGTTCCTCTACCACATTTTGGGCGAAGTCATCAAGGCGGGCGCGACCACGCTCAACATCCCGGATACCACTGGTTGGAACCTCCCGCACGAGTTTGGCGGCCTGATTGCGGCCATCCGTGCAAACACGCCGGGCGCGGAGAACGTAATTATCTCTACACACTGCCAGAATGATTTGGGTTTAGCTACTGCCAACTCTCTGGCGGGAGCGGCAGCGGGCGCCCGGCAGATTGAGTGCACAATCAACGGTATCGGCGAGCGGGCGGGGAACGCTTCGCTGGAGGAGGTTGTCATGGCTATCAAGCTGCGCGGGTGGGTGGTGGGTCTGGGTGGCGGCAGGGCGCGTGGGGTGGCATGAGCCCCGGGTGCACGTGGGATAAGATAAATCGTGGGTGTGCGCTTGGGGAAGCGTGGGTTCGCCAATCGGGGCAGCCCCTTTTTTGGCGCGTCGTGCTCCATGAACCTCTCCCCACCTCCTCCCTCCACCTTCACCTGCCCCTACACGCATGCCCCCAGTGAGGCCCAGATGGGCGGCCTGCGCACCGGCATCCGGCCGGTGCACATCTACCCGACCTCCAAGATGGTATCTGACTACAGCGGCATGATTGTGCAGCCGCACAAGGCCATCGTGGGAGCCAACGCCTTCGCGCACGAGAGTGGCATCCACCAGGACGGCATGCTCAAGAACAGGGAGACGTAAGCCTAGGGCGGGAGGGAGGAAAATAAGGGGCTCAGGGAGCGAGGGACAGGGGGGAGCATGCCTCAGAGACGCACTGGAAACGCTATATGTCTTGGCGAGCGCTTCGTGACGGGTCGGGGTGACAGCAGACGGTGGCGGACTGTGGTTAGCCACCGTCCAAACCGCAGTCCGCATGTTTCCGCATGTGGGAAGCGGTGGGATGCCGCCTGCAGCTCCGTTCCTGTGCGTTCGGGCGAGACTGGCTGGGGTTAGCGGCGGATCACTGCTGCCGCTTCCTGGGTTTGCCTCGAATGGCAGAGGCGGCAGCAGCGAAGTCGGAAGTACTTGTTAGCAGTACCAGCCTCAACTGCCCCAGCGGAAGCAGCCAACCCTGCTGCTGCCGCCGCCCAACAGCTGTGGACGCCGCTACGTGGGTTGGGAGTGCAGTTGCGGAGGTGCTTCCCCCAGTGCGGAGGGCAGTGGGACGCTTGCCCGGGGCTTGCGAACCTCTGCTGGAGGCCGAAGCAGCAGCAGCACCCGCATAGGGTCCCTGGCAGGGCCCAGAGAGGAGCCGGATGCGCGGCTCTGCATGGGCACCGTTGCTGTTGGCTTGGACGGTGCAGCTGCTGGAGCGCGCGGAAGCAGGGGACTTCCCAATGACTGCAATGCGGTCTGCATAGTGCTGGGGGGTCCTGTTGCGGCAGCAGCTCACACGGCATGGGCCGCTTCCAGCCCTTCACTGGGTTAACACTGAACACTGTCACGTTAGAATACTACTATGGGACCCACCGTGGTGTCTGCTCTCGCCTGCAACCCGCAGGTACGAGATTATGACCCCCGAGTCGATTGGTTTGCCGCGTCAGGAGCAGGACCGCGGTGAGGCTTGGGGGGGTTGGCAGCTGAGCAGGGAAGAAATGGCACCACTAGGGTTGCAAAATGTATTAGAATTTAAGGCGTATATATTATTCCTAATTTGAATCTTAGGATTGGGATCAGAACAAGATCCCTAACTTTCTATTTCGACATCAGAATTTCTCCTATGGAACGGCTTATACTAATCCAGGCGTTTCCAGCAACTGTTGCGGTGGTTGGATGGGTACTTGAGGGAGCTACCAGCCGAACCCAGCCACCAACAGTTCGCACGGATCCCAGCCAACGACACACACAAACAAACACGGATCCCAGCCAACGACGCGCCAAATCATTCCAGGCTCCACAGGGACAGCTACAAGACCGTTCGCTCGCTGTAGGCGATGCTTTTTATAGGGCCGGGTGACGGTGTACGCAGAGGATGGATGTCAATGGATGTCCATTGACCATGCCTGCCGCCAGCACGATACACTACATGGACCTTCAACGCCTTAACCCAGCAATGTATTTGTTCCTCACAGGCTTCGGCACGAGATTTCCGGTTGTGAGGCCGTAGCTTCAGCGTTTGATGTTGACGTTTATAACCCAAAGGCAGGAAGACGTATTGGAATTAATCGGAAGACATTAGAATATTCTAAAATGTTCGGAACGGCCTGTCCTAAACCCTAATAATGCAACATTATCCCTAACATTCTAAGGTCCATGCCAGCAATTTCTTTTTCGTTTTCGAGGGCATATTTTTGATCGCTGCTATAGCGGAATATGGAAATCGGGCCTGGACGATCGCTTATCGCTTTCCCAACCAGCCAAGCCGAGGGGTTTCGGGGCTTATCGCTTCCTTAGGCGGCCTCCTGGGGTCACACGTGCCCATAGTCCCCTAAACCCCGATGCTGAGGCGCTTCTCACTGGTCCCAGTGCCCTCCTGGACCTAAATCCCTAGCATGTTGAGGGTTTGGCACGGGGGGTGTGAGCGATGAGGTACCCTGGGCGCAGGCACCTTATCGCTTTCTCACGGCCCTAGGACCATTTTTCATCGCTCAAAAGAAAAAACACTGGTCCTTGCAACCCTAGGCATCACGGATATCGGATTTGGAATTTCGTGGAAGGCAAGCCACAGCGAAGACACCCTTGCCACTTCGTACTTATCCTTCTCCATCTTTGCCTACCCCCAACTTTCGTTATAAGGCTAATGCTGACGTTTCACCCGACGCCCTCCAAACGCCCCCGACAAAGGTATCGTGTTGGGCAAGCACAGCGGCCGCAGCGCCCTGAGCTCCCGCCTGCGCTCGCTGGGCTACGAGCTGAGCGGCTCGGAGCTGGACGACGTGTTTAAGTGGGTCACAGCGGAGAAAATGAGTGATAGCATGAGAGGCGAATGGGATGAGGATTTCAAATGCCTCTGACATGGAGGGTGACGAAAGCACTATTTGGGGAATGCTGCACATCTCATTTTGGAGCGTTACCTTGGTAGGAGAGAAGCAGCACACCAAACACACCCTTCATGTCCACCGCACCGGACCCTGTCCCCCCCTCCTCCTTCCTGCCCAGGCGCTTCAAGGCCCTGGCTGACAAGAAGAAGCGCATCACGGACGAGGACATCCTGGCACTGATGAGCGACGAACTGCACCAGCCCAAGGTCATCTGGGAGCTGCTCGACCTGCAGGTGAGGCCGAGTGGGGAAATGGAAGGAGGGCTAGGGTTAAGGGACGATAGGAACAGAAGAAACTACCTGGAAGATTCTGAATTATGATGAGAAGGGGGAAAATCAAAGATTAGTGCAGCAACGAGTCCCAATACCATATCCCGGGGGGAGGGGGGATGCGCGGGTTCAGCGCACGGATCGAGTGTTTGCCATAAACGCCGAACCGGTCGGTTTGCCCTCCTTCTGCAACTTATCCTGCCTCCTTGCCGCCCCTTGCTGCTCACCTCCGCCATCTCCCCCCTCTCATTCTTCACAACGCTCCCTCCCCTCATGTTTTCTCCCCCTCTCGCCCTTCTTCAGGTTGTGTGCGGCACCATGGGCATGCCCACTGCAACGGTGCAGATGCAGGGACCGGACGGCATTGCGCGGATCGGTGTGGGCGTGGGCACGGGTAGGGCGGCGGCCGGGGGTGAGGAACAAAATAGGAGTGGAAGCACTAGGAAGGGTCGATTTAAACATTGCGCGGAACGGCATGCGAAAGAGTTAAGACCAGTAGGGACAAAGCACTGTTAACGGTACTGGGGATGAATGTCTTGACTGTAGTAGTTGCTGTGGGAGCACAAGCACGCTTTCGAAGAGGCATATACAGGACTCCAGCTGCCCTAGCGAGAACTATGGAGAACCAAAGCATAGCTTATGATTGAGGTAATTACCAAAGCACCAGCTGAAACCTCACAGCTACGCTGTCGCGTGGCTCGCCCGACGTACGACAAAAAATAGAGACATAGTGCGAGAGCAGGAAGCAGAGGTTACATAAGTACGATGTTGTCAGGCAAACAGAGCGTCACCTTTACAACTCACCCAGACTTGCACTCTGTTGCAATCGCAAACGAACCAAGGTATGCGAGGCTATCACAAGCAGCAGCTGTTGCTGCTTACTGCACAGACTTGCTGCCATTGGATAAAAGCCCCTACCGCAATCGCTTTCTGCCTTTGTCCTAGCGCCGGCATCAACTTTGTGTAAACAAACCCCGAACCTCAACCACAATAACATCACTTCACGTCCTCACTTCCTCAAACCCAGCCCAGCATTTCAGTAGCTACGGTTCACTCCTCTCCCAGTCTTCAAAAGCGGTGCCCCTAACACACTCACAACAGTCATCCACGATCAAGGCGCCCACCTCGCCGGACTCGCCTTCATCTTTGGGGGTAGGGGGGCGAGCCCCACGGTCTGCGAAGCTGACGGGTTTTGGGTGGGCCCACTTGAAGTGCTAAGGGCCAAAAACCGACCATCGAATATTGTCGCGCCCAGCGCCCAAGCCATGTATCGAGGCCGATGTAACTTAATAAAACGCCTAACCTGGGGTGCCATAGGGTGCCTTTCGATGTTACAGCGCCTATGTCAAAGAAGGTTGTGCGTCCCCATCAAGAGCAACCTGCCCCAACTCGACCATATCCCTCTCGCCGGTATCTTCGGCGTCTTTGGAAGGTACTTCCTCGCTGGATGCTAGGTCATCAGTGGACGCTTCAACGGTATCTAATAATCATCGTCGGGGTAGTCGGAATTTTAGGATGAGGGCATGCTATCACCATCTTCACTCGCCATGGACCTACCGCGATAATATTCTTTCCGGTATCTTGGTGATGCTTGACTAGCCTCGGAATGAAATGACGGTTCAGCGCAATATCCACATCGGAATGCGGATTTGCTCCAAAAGGTTCCCCTGTTTTTATTTTTATGGCAACAACAGAATATTACAGGCAATATGCGTATTTTGCGGGAAAATACGTGGACTGACTTGGAAGCACTATTTGCAAGGCGGCAAGTAGGCAAAGCTGATTCGAGCGCCCATTCACCTGGTAAACAATGAGGACTACTTACGGCCGCGATGAAAGGTGATAGGAAGGATAAAAGTAAGACGGTTGCCGTACGCCTAGGTCGCTTCGGTACCACATGCGGGCTAGCTACGCCCAACTTCTTGTAGGTATCCAAACTAACAAACCTACAGCGCTCTGCCCCTCAATACAGCGTTTGTTACCAGTCATAACAATGTTTGCCACCCTTCAGTACAGGTGGCCCCGGGTATTGTGAGACAGTGGGTATTGTGAGACACTCGCGTTTATGGCACCCTGGGTGCACAGAATGCTTAGCCCATGTTTCTTATCAAATTTGTTTCGAAGAAAAGTGTCGCGCGGTACCGGATCAATGCCGGCTTTGCCGACCGGATTTGGACTCGCTGCCATGTCGAATTCGGCCTCGGCACTAAGCATAGACTCTTCTTGTGGCCCCTTATACATCTTATAAGCCATACAGAGCCTTAGCAACGATTTATCGATGCGTTTTGTGTATAGCGTGACTGTACAAAGTGGGTTGATGGCAACTCTTATACGCCCCTTCAAAAACGTAATCTTGCACCAAAGTCCTTTCCCATCCATTTCCTTTCTTTTAGCACACAGAAACACCGAAGAAGAAGAGATGGGCTTAAACGCGAAAATCCGACGGCGGTTGCTAATGTGTAGGATAGATTTGCAGGGTATGACTTATAGACTGATAGATTTGTATGGTAAGGATCTTCCCTTGCTTCCACGGCGCGGGCCTCACGTAGCGCCTGGAATCATGCCAATCCTCGCCCTCTTGCCTCCCTCTTTTCGCCATTATGAACCGCGCCCTGCTTCCATTCTCTTCCTCCCATTAACGTTATCCCCCCCCCTCTTCCCCCTGTCAGGCCCGGTGGACGCTGCCTACAAGGCTGTGGACAGCCTGGTCCGTGTGGAGGCGGAGTTGGTGGACTACTCCGTGTCCAGTGTGACTCAGGGCATTGAGGCACTGGCGCACACGCGTGTCATGATCCGGCCCGCCGGCAAGATGAGCGACCAAGGATACAGCGAGCATGCGGCGCTGGGAACCGTGCAGCGGCAATTCTCGGGTAGGTCATCTGAACTGAGGTCTTTGGAGGCCCAGAGACGTGGGGTGGGTTAGGGACTATTAAGGCAGGCGGGCGCGGCGGGATTGGGCTCCGTGCAGCGGCAGGGGTGTTAGGTAGCGCATTGGGCCGCATTCAAAGTAAGTAGTCAAAAGCGCCTGCATGTTGGTTCAACGGGTAAGTAGGGAGAACTAGCATAGAGAATGTGAGGACAGCAAGCTGGGTCTCAGGACCGGCGATAATAAGTTCGAGTACGGTAACCTTAGGGCAAAGTCGAGAAGGTGTATATGAATATGATGCTCTGGGGTAGCCTGCGCTGCTGACCGGGACAAAATAGAAGGCAAAGGTAACGTAGTGCATGGGACAACAAGGCAATACGGCTGTCGATGTTGGTGGGCTTTTTTCCGCCATGGCTTTTTCCCTGGCTGCTTGCTGTTGCTGGCATTCCCCACATGTTTCTCATAATATGGGTTTGCTGTCAGGCGTAAAATACGGTACTAGGCGCAGGTCCCACTCTTCCGTTTCCCTATTATTCACTCCCAAACCCGGACCCAAATACCCTCCCCTACCATCAAGGCTCGGGCGCCAATGAGGACATTGTCGTGGCCAGCGCCCGCGCCTACATCCACGCGCTCAACAAGATGATTGGCTGGGTGAGTGTGGCGCAGAAGGTTACGCCGCGGGGCAGCAAGTCGGGGGTGGCGGGGACCAGCATGGCCAGCATGGATGCGGTGGGCAAGGAAGCGGCAGCGTCAGCTGTAGCTGCCTCCTCACCTTGAAGGGTGCAGCTCTTGTCTGCGCAGAATATAAATGATGTTATACACATTGTTTGGTATTTTTTAGGTTTTGGGAGAAGTGGAAAATGCAAATAAGGCAGGAGGGAGAGTGTGTGAGGCAGGGCAGATAGGGGTTTAGGGGAAAGGGCAGGCATGTGCGGGGCAAGAGTGAGGTGCAATGTTGGTAATACGAGGTTTTGCCCCGCTCCTGTGTCAGTTTGGGTCGTCCTAGAGGGGCGTTAGTAACAGGCGTTTGCCATCGGTTTCCCTGGGATCAGTCCCGGGGAATTGTTCGTCCGTTGGGCCGTTGGTCTGTCCGGCAGCTTGAGCCGGCGGGTGACGCGGTCGTAGCACTCGGCTGCCACAGACAGCTCAAAGCCGATGACCACGCGCTCGAGCAGCTTGACTACATCCATTTCTTCCATACTGAGTTCCGTACGCGAGTGCTGTGCCAGGGCAGGAGTGAAGCCCTAGGCGGTGTTGTCTTACGTTACCTAGGCAACGCCTATCTAAGACTACAGCCCGAGCGCAAGGGCTACTGGTAGCGGAGCGCAACGCTGCCCAGCGCTGTGTAACTACCCCAGAGTTACTCCACTATTTCTCACAGAATCCCCCGCTGTAAACGCGTACAACTGGTATTCTCAACAGGTTATGAGCCCCGGTACTGGGATTCTGTGAAAGACTACTTCAATACTTAGTTGGCCACCATGGACAAGGGGTGCCCTACAAAGCTGCGAGGTGATGGGTCAAACTTCTTTCGAATGATTCATGCATCTAAGCGATGTCCTTGCTACGGAGAAGCTGGCCGTCTACCTCATCAGCCCTGCTCCCCCAGGTCGCATTGCTGCAGTCACTCTGGATGAGGACCGACAGGCCTTGGGGTATGTGCATACCGGTAGCAGTAGCTGAGCAAATTACCTGTAACGACGTCCTGACTGCGTCCACTGCCGCAGCGTATCTGCAGCAACAGTTCCAGGCTCCAAGGAGCAAACTATACCTGCTAGAGCATGAGAAGCAGCTCAACATGCGGGACGAATGATCAGTACTTCCACCGGGCGCGCAAGCTGTGTTCAGAGCTCGTTGCCGACGGTGGTGATTGGGCAGACATGGAGGTGCTGTTGGCTATCCTCTCTGGCCTTCCTTCTGACTATGTGAGCATCGTCGACGGACTGCTAAGGGACAACGTCAACCTGAACCTGGCATCAGTACGGCATGAGCTGCAGGAGAAGGAGTGGAGGCTGAAGGCGCCAGTGCTGACCGTGAACAGCATAGTGGGCTCCGTTCGTTCATCCTCGTCCTTGCGCCCTGCTGCAGACGACAAGTGCTGCTACTGTGCTCGGTCAGGCCACTACGATAGGGAGTGCCCATCTGGCGTGCAGATGAGCAGAATGGCACTTTCCACCACTCCATCCATGAACCCCACCGCTTGAACAACAACCGCAGTGGAGCTGGTGCGAGCAGCCACGGCGGCGGCGGCGTGGGAGGAAGCTACAGTGGCAACAGCAACAGTAGCGGAGACAACAACGCCGGCAGAGGGGGAAGGAGTGGCCGCCGTGGCGGTGGCGGTGGTGGTTGCAGCGGCGGGGGCCGTGGCAGCAACGGAGGTGGCGGCAACTCATCCCACACACTTGCGTGCAGACACTGATGCGACTTGTGCCGTCGCTAACAATGGCGACGCTTCCACAAGTGCAGCTGCCCTGCAGGCTATCCTGGACTCCAGCATGTGACCGCAGCCTACTGCATGCGTTTGAACCCACCGGTTCAGTAAGTCACGTCGGCTTGGACCGCATATGAACATGGCTATCTTCGACTGCCGCTGCTATCCCAACTGTCCGTGGGAAGTTGAATCACAATAGCCAGCTTGGCCAGCCCTATCGTGTAGCACCTATGTAGCAGGCAGCCCCTAGCCTGCTAACTAGTAGCCTTATCAGCGCTGGCAATCGGGGTGTAGGGTCTCAGCCACCTACCTACTCCGGGGTGTAGGGTCTCAGCCACCTACCTACTCCGGGCCTCTGCGACGTCGTGGCGTGTCGCACCACTTACAGAATCGCCTACACCATATAGGGGTTACCGGGTGGTGCCTTTGGCTACCACATCCTGGTGCGGAGTGTCCTTCAGCCACACTTCACGTCAGCATAAGGCCTCAGGCAGCTGACTAACCCCTGGTGCTCCTGCCAGCACCGCCCACACCACAGTGCAATCATAAGATTGTAATGTGATAAACCCGCACATTTGCCCCGAGAGGCACCTTCCAGCCAAGGCAGTCTCAACCATGGCATCACGCGAACTACCTTGTCGTGAGTCCACCAGCATGGCATCCCAAGACGGTGCCTTCCAAGAAATTGAAGAAGATATTGATGCGCTGCTGGCTGCTCTGCCTGACGGCGCCGTCGCTTTGCAGTAAGGTCCTCGCCCGGATTGTGGGCTCTGAGCATGCTCGCATATTAGCCCACATTCTGGGCTCTGAGCATGCTCGGAGCATGCTCAGAGCCCATGGTCAGGGCTCCACGCCTAAGGCACGCATTTCCAGGCATATAACCACCGAACTTGATATAGTAACGTAGTCGTTTAGCCATGCAGCAATCATAAGGGGCATTAAAGAGCCTGGTCCCCACCCAGGAACAACGAGCCCTGACCCTGGGCTTTGAGCATGCTCGGAGTCACCTCATGGCCTATGTATGGGGAGTCCGTAGCCGTGACTGTGGCGCGAAATGGATGCCGGGTGGCCCTCCAGCCCCCTCAAAACAGCATGTTTGACCGGGTTCCATGCTGCATGCCCTGCCTAACTAGCACATTCGGCCCTGCCACGCATGCGTATGACTTGACACCGACTCCAGCTCTTAGCCACCTCATGGCCTATGTATGAAGAGTCCGTAGCCGTGACTGTGGCGCATGCTCCGAGCATGCTCAGAGCCCAGAATATGGGCCGAAATTGCGAGCATGCTCAGAGCCCACAATCCGGGCGAGGACCTTACAATAGGGCGCTGACAGACTTGGAAGCGGACTTTTCAAGTGGGCGAGCCTGAATTGAGCGCCCATTCACCTTGTACCTAATAAGGCACAGTCAATAGATTCAGAAAGACTCCTCCCAGGGGAGGAGGGAAAAAGCAAGACTGTTGCCGTACGCCTAGGTCGCTCCGGACCTGGGGGCAGCGGCACCTCAGCTGCACACATGCTGGGGGCACGGCACCCATGCCCAACGCCTAACTTGTTGGCTCGCCCCGATTAGGGGCGTAGTCTTAGCGTTCACTCAAAATAGTCCGGGCCGAGGCGTTATGTCCTTTTTGTACCGTGCACGTGTCCTATGTTGTATCCTTGTACATTTATCATGTTGTATTTGTTGTTGTGTTTTAAGTATAACGGCATGTCGAAAAAAGAGAGAGGCTCAGAGTTCAGAGCATGAACGAAGTGGAAACATTTAGCAATGCTGTAAGCTGTATGTATACACCCTTGAAAGATGAACTTCTTGCTTTGTGCTCAGAGCCCGGGTTCAGGGTGTGCCCCAAGACTTTAACCGGGAGTGAGGCATCTGGGCCGTCAGATATTAAGCCATATATTAATCATATTTGTCCATGCTATTAAAAGTGAAAACCCGTCAGCTTCGCAGACACGAGGGCTCGCCCCCAAAAAAACGCGTTTTCCCTAAGCGGCTGCTTGCTTACTGAGCGTGTATGTAAGAGCTGATGGACCAAACTGGGTGTCTATACGTTGCATCTTACTTTCACGATGTCAAGTCGAACAATATCACCAAGAGTGCGCAGTGAACAAATCAGTATTCCTTGGTGTATGCACTAACTTGCGACTTGTACATAGCAACGGTATATCACTCTGAATGCAAGTTTCAAGGGTGACCGGACCTACATGCCGGAGCGAAAGCATGTACGACTATAATTGCTTTCACATACATACTCTCTTCATTACCACACATTCCTGCCTAACGTGAGATAAGCTGCATGTTGGTTCTTAAACTTAGCCCTTGAGCCGGTTGTGGTGTAGCCGCCTGGTTAAGCTGGCCAACACATCATGCTGAGCACGTCATGCTGTCGTGTGCTGCGAGTACGCTTACAAGGCGTGTGCGACATTGACGGCGATGTAGCTGATGTCCAGACATATATTGCACGCATTCCAGGGGAAGGTGTGGATTTTGATCGGGAACATGAGCAACATCGCCAATCTATGTCGCACTTCCATCGCCAGCCTAGCTCATGGTCACAACATGTTGCAAACGTATAAAGAAGTAGCCACGGACTAGATATTGCATCGCTGGCAGCGCCAAAGCGCGTGGGCGGCTGGGATGAGGTTGTACGACGCTTGATCGCCCGACACCTGATCATTCCAGCGGCTATCCAACAGGCTAGTTAACTTTATTTTCTTATCACTTGTATTCCTTCTATGTAGCGTATCTATGCACCATAGGGCAATCCCGCGCGCAGCGACGATGGAGGATGGAGTCGCTTAGCGCTTCGCCGACGGGCTTAAAAGCTTGAGCGGCAGCTGGGCCGATATGGTGGATATGCACTGGCTTCATACCAGGTATATCCTGTTGAAGGCGTATGTTGTCTATTCATCCTAATGACTGTTCTGTGATCCTTGTCGTGCAAGTTGCGGCCTTCCTTGCAGCAGAGGCGTCTAACACGGTGCTATGGGTCATGGACACCAACCGCACCACCACTTGCTAGCTGCCGCGTCGCGTCCGCCCTGGGACGCGCGAAGCGCATTTGCGTCGTCCAAAGCTGCAAGCGAGTCGCGCCTTTCGTAGATTAGTGTTGCTGTGCTTCTTTAATGGACTTATTCGCAATGCACTGACCTTTACTCCTTTTTACGTTTGCAGGCGTATTCACCGCTTCGCGTGGTATTGTCGGCGTTGCATTGAATGTGTGCATGCATCTTGCAAATGCCAGCCAGCTTTCCACGTCGACGCCCTCTGATTTAGTTTCCAAGCTACCGTGCCACATACTTAATTCGCCAGCGGATGTGATCCGTCGGTCTTACGGCAGAGTAGCGTGGCAGCCTACCTGAGCTTGCACTTCGGCAGTGTTACATACATATTTACTGCGCATGTGCAAGGACTGCGGTTCAGCTGCAACTGATTAGAAGGCCAGCTATACGAGCAGCTCGTGTATACATGGTTAAAAACACTTGTGTGTCTAGGACAGCAGTAATCGTATATCTGCCCCATTGATGTTCATTAGCCTGTCACTTCAGCTCAGGCACTGCTGCCTGCCGCATTACCGCCTTTGATACAATGGACAAACGTAGAAAAAGTCCCATTCCTCGCAGTATGACAGTATTTGGTGTAACTTCGCATGTGCAATTAAGGCGAAGCAGCTGCATCTTAATAGGCGCTCAGTTATCCAAACAGCTCAAACGCTACATAGCAATCTTAGCTGCGCAGTGTGCCTAGAACAGCAGAAACTGGACAGAGACTGTTTCATCACTGCAGTTGATACAGTGTGTATACGCTGGTAGATGTAAGATTTGACCCGTTGTCACCCTCCAGACAGTTGGAGGTTTCTTGCTGCCCCGCTGGTAGCCCAACATATGCACTTAATGTGCACGCGGGGGAACAGGAGGAAGAAACGCAGGGGGAGGGGGGTAAAAGGGGGGACAGGGAGTCCTCTCCCCCCTCAGGGTGATG